ACATCACGTTATTATTGCATGAATGTGGCGGCGATAACCCGTGACCCGCACTTAGGGGGGGCCGCCCTGGCTGCGTCGTTGAAATTGAATTCTTTAACAACTCGAATACGATTAGAATTCTATAACAGCCTATGTTTATTCGAAATCAACCTAAGTGATTCTAAATTCCATTCCGACATACAACTTACTGTATATGTAATATCATAATTAATGAATTAATAACTTACATAGAGCTAATTAACTTTTTAATTCTTAAGAACATTTTTTTGTTCTTTTTGAAACCCAAACTTCTTTATCAATTTTTAATAAACATAACGATAAATTGTTATTCTTAGAATGTTTGGGCGCAGTCCAGTCATCAAGGGATAGATTAGTGGAGCAACCAAATTTTATATATTTCATACTGCCTAATATATTTATTAACAAAATCCACCACTTCGTTAGGCAGTGTTATGAAAGGTATGGGTTCATTAATTGCCTCTCTTTTATTAGCTCTTTTATGATTGAGGATTAATTCTTCGATGTCTAAGATTCCAGAAAGTAATAACTCGTCACAATTTGTTAATGCATAATTTGATATTTTCGAAATTGCCCGAGTTGACGTTGGAGGTTGAGAATCTGAGAATCATCAGTTGCATTTGGAGGAGGAGATTAGAGAAAACCAAGCGCGTAATACCAATTATGCACTTTTGGTTCGAGAGCTACTGCTTTTGCAACGGGATTTACAAATAAATCCTGTTATTTCGCTCTATAAATCAAAACTAAAAAAAAAAAATCAAAAATTCCTTACGTCGACGATCCGGACTCTTGCTTCGTAGGTTGGTATGTGAGGACATTGTAAAGTTCTTCCCAACCTCTCTTATCTACAAGCTCTTTAATCCTTGGGCCACATAAATATATGAATTGTTTAGGCAGTTTCTCCGAGAAGATTAAAAACAAACTCTGACGATGGTCTAAGATCCATGATCTCATTAACATTTGACCAGAATTAGGGATTAACCATCTGGTGTTAAGCTAATGCAGGCGTGTTGGGGTTAGGGTTTATAAGAGCGTCGGAACGGATAACAGAACGAGGTGGTTTGTTTTTATAAAATTTTTGAGGTTAAAGTTATTGAGTGCCAAATATCTCTGACAAATATTGGGTCCTCGCTATAGATGCAGACTTATTTACGTCACTAGTTACGACTCAATTGCATTTTTATTTTATAACCCGATTTTTTATATAGGACGTAACTAGGTGATGTCATAAGTCTGCATCTATTCGCTACACATCGGACAATAAATAATATCATCAATCATTTTCGAATTCATCAATCGATTGATTAAGCATTTTTTAAATCATGAACAAATTCAGAAGTATAAAATTATGTGTCGATTACAGAAAAAAGGTGGTTGCATATTTACCATCATGAGAATTAATTCTTGGCAAGTTTCATGCAAATAAAATTATAAATCTGTCTTCTTCACTTGATTTTTGTTTTTTTAAATGGTTACACGCAACGTGCTTTAATTATTAAGTCCTTCAAATGAATACTTTTTATTCTCTTACATAAATCAATCATATCGTTCACATCGATCCTATATTTCCGCACATATATATATATATATATTTAGATTCTCTTTCCGTCTTTCAACAAAATGGTTAAATCACTTGATATTCCCCCGATTAAATCCGTTATTTTATGGTTTATTGCATTACTTTTACTTTGGATCATGTTTTCATCATGCAACTTTGATGAGTTCGAATATAAACGATACTTTAAATACTTTACAACGCTAGATTTACAAGACCCATTTACAATTATCAATACTGAAATTTCATCGATAACGTCACCTGCCAAAATATCCTTAGACTCGCCATTCCTTCGATCTTACAAAAAACGCAATTTAAAAAATTCAAAACCCACAGCATCTGATGGTAAAGGGCTTAAAGGTCCCGGAATAGATGTTGTTCAACAAGAAGCAACATCCCAATCATTAGAACATGAGATTCACAAACATTACGAGGAAGAATCTGATGACTGGTGGGAAGTCTATCGAACTTATGAGTACGAAACCGCTGATTCATTAGGTAATATGTTCTTAGTAACAGTCGAAGAAGCTCAAGTCATTCATAAACAGCATGCACTGCTAGATGATCTTCAGCATGCTGAAGAAATAAACCAAGATACAGCATCTCAAAGTGTTTTCAGCGCTGGTGGTGTTAACAAACTTGCGCAGAGTAATGTAAATGCTAATGCGAGTAATGTGGCAGTGGCTGAGTCTCAACAACATCAACAAGAAGATTTGATGGATGTTAAGCAATATCAAAAGATTCATGTTATACAAGTATCAGCAGCTGGGTTAATGATTGATGAATACGAAGAAGAAAGACTATCAGATTATCAATATCAGTTGGAGGTAGATATTTTTAATCAATGGGAATATCAGAGCGAACAAGAAAACCAGCAGTCAGATAATTTTGTTGTTGAATGAGATGATAAGATCAAGGTTTTTACTTTTCATTATACTATAATAAATTTTAATACTTTAACAAATTTAGAGAATTGCTTTTATTGTATATACATAAATTATCTACATTACGCAATAAAGGAGACCATATAAAAACAAATATGGTTTGGTATTTCCATACAGCTGTAAAGTTGTGTTGCGAAATTTACACTTTAATAAATTTGATCATATAAAATAATCGTTAATGTAACTAAAGGCTTATCGGCTCCATTGATTAATCAGTTTTATTATAATACTCATCTCTAATTGTAGTAACGGCTTAATTTATAACAAAATTTAGCAAGGAATTTTTATTATTAGAACATAAAAGATGGTTTTCTAGTCAAAATTTTGTGTTATCAAAATTTGATTGGCTTTATAATATATGGCTATCAGCTACAATTTTATTATTTTATTATTTATTTCATTTATTTTATTTATACTTATTTTTAAGAACAATATGAATTATTTAAAATGTTATAAATTACAGATCGCAAAGCTTTCTGCTTGTATGATTGGTTTCGAACTCGATTCTAACACATTGAGTTCATTAAATTCACGTGATTATAAACTTGTGTTTAACTGATTCGGGTTTCGAACAGGGACGAACAGAGTTTAGATATTTAAGTAGTATAGCACTCCTATAATAAAACTGTCAAAACAGATTCTCAATCTTCGACGGATTCTCATTTAAACATTGATTAAGCATGTATCGAACTTGGCTTAGTGGTTCCCCACTCATAATTCCAGCGGTGTGATTTGTAGAAGCTCTAACTTCCCCCTCGGTTCTGACTGAACATGTTCAGATTTCTGACTATTAACTAAGCTAAAGATCTGATGTAACATAAAAATGATAAAAAAAAGCTTATTCAAAATCTCAAGTAACTTATGACTTGCCTATGAAATTTTACATGATTTGTTAGGATAGCACACGGCATATTTAATCAAACCTATATTACATAGCAATTTTACTATGATCAGATTTTATTAGTGAAATTAAAATAATCGATTGAATATCCCTAAAGGATTCACTTTAATATCATTACGGCTAATTTTGATTGTGATCTAAATAGCAGAACCAATTACTTATAATTCTGGTCAAATTTGCAGATCGTTTGGCCAAGTTCAGAGTTTTTTTGATCCCTAATTTGGGCGGATTCGACGCATTTCCATTAGTGTGATATTTTCGATTTGCACATCAATTTTGTGATTATCTTGAATTTAACCAATTAAGTTCTTAGTTTGGCTTATTTTGATTTCCTATTTTGGATTTAGATTTTCTATTTAGAGAATTGCACTCCGGTTGTACTCTGATTCTAAAAAAGGAAATAAACATGAAACTGGGCTGACTTTTTCTGGCCATGGGCCAAATTTATTATTTTTTTTTATAATGCTAATAATGACATAATTTTGTTACATTCAAATGATCATCATATGTAGTGTTCCGCAGAACCAAACTGAAGAACTGGAACCGACCCAGAACCGACCTCCGGTTCAGTTTCGGGTACATAATTTTTAGAATAATTCGGTTCCGGGTCTCAATTCATACCCGAACTGTAATACCTGAATCTATAGTCTAATATCATGTAACAAAAAAATCTAGTATAAAAGAAAAAAAAAATTTTTTTCTTTAAAACGGCTATATAAAAGAATTCTATAAAAGCTTTGTAAGCAAAGTAGCCTTGACGCAAACCTTTTTTTTTTCTTACAAATTAATTGGTTGCACGTGGTACGTTAGTACCTGGGTAGAATATAGCAAGGGTAAGACATATTAAAAAAGATCGACATAATATGTGAGATAACGTAGTGTAATTTTAAAGCTAAATATTACAGACTTAAGCTTACAATGTAATATCAAAGTCTATTGTATTAGATCAGTGATGTAATCACACGTGAGAAATAAATAAGAGGTTCGATCTGTAAGATCGAACCCACACTTTGATTTTACTTAAATTATATCATACCTG